AATAAGCCACCTTGTCCACTTTTTTAAGTCTTTTTGTACTTGAGGGTTTGTATGATCAACATCAGGTGCACAATCAACAGATACACCAGTATCGAGGGATCCAAGAGCCCGGTACCCTTGAAGGTTGTTTGAAACAACTGCCCAGGGGCCCCATGGGGGCCCCTCAAAAATGGTCCAGTGGCCCATTGCGTCCTGCTGCGTTGCGCACCGGTGATTCGCCACCACGTCGACGCAGCAGCACAATTGCTTACGGCGTGCTGCTGCCAAAAGTGTCCTCAGCTCTGCCTCAGACCCGTAGTGACTCTTTAAGGAGTACCTGCATATAACAGCACCATCATCGTCAGATGCACCATCACCAGTACCATCAGCAGCAGCACCGTGCGCATCAGCAGCTTCAGCAGCAGCAGCAACAACAATACTACCAGCAGCAGCAGCACCACCACCACTAGCAGCAGCAGTAGCAGCATAAGCAGCAGCAGCAACAGCAGCAGAAGCAACACATTGGGCATACCATTTGGTGGGCATATATCCTTCCCAGTCGACGCATTCAGTTGGTGGTGGACACCAAACAATGGTTACGCCAAGTTTACAAATTTCATCTAATTTATTAAAAAGTATTTTATACCAACTAAAAGGGTTTTTAGCACTTAACCAATTAAACCCCTGAAGCATTATGTGCGGTTTCTTGTCTTCTAATCGAGGACCTTCAAGGGCTGCCTCCGCCCTTACGCGGATACTAGCTGACAGTAAACCCTCACCAACTACTTCAGTCTTCTTGCTGCTGCTGCTGCTCCTGCTGCTGTTTGTGCTGCTGGTGCTGCTGGTTGTGCTACGGCTGTTGCTGTTGCCGGTTATGTTCTTGGTAGTGGTGTTGGTGCTATTCCTGCTGCTGCGTTCCACGTTGAAGCTCTTGCGCCCGTCTTTTCTGCAGCAACCGCTGTTGCTGCTCTTACTGCCGCTGCTGCTGTTGCTTCTGTCGCCGTTGTTGTGTTGCTGTTTCTGCTGCTGCTTGTCGGCTTCAGGGGGTATGCTGGTCCACGCAGACACCGCGTATTGGTATGTCTCGCCTTGCAGCACGTGCGTGTCTTTAAACGTGTGCTCGTGGGGCCCAACCGCAGGCAAACAGCCAAAAGGGAGGCCCTCCCGATACACCCGATAATATAGCACAGGGGGCCCTCCACTGTCTGTGGGAGGATCCCAACTTATCTCAATGCTGAGGCACAAACTGTAAACCGTAAACCATAAACCCTAACCCTCTGTAAACCCTGAACACTAAATGACTGGGTGCCACAATCCTGAAACCTGTGTGAAGTTACAGTATGTTTGATTATAGATTATTTGCCTAGGTTCTAGCGTTGACCAGCGTCTGCAGCCTAGGGTGTCTCCTGCGCATCAGTGTTTAGGGTTAAGGGTTTAGGGTTTAGGGTTCAGTGGTTAGGGTTAGGGTATGGACCTGCTCGGGGTTTTATGGGTGCATCGTAGGTTGTTAGGAGCAGAAGGTTTTCCCTCTTCAGCTGTCTGTACAGCTAGGGTGTCTGACGGGGGACTTTCTTGACCTTCTTCATTAGCAGCACAAACAAAATAATTAAATACTCGTGACACTAAAGGAGGATAGTCAGTAAAATGTAAACAACAGCCATCCACAGACCCCACCAATACACTGTCCCTATAAACACACACAAACACTCATATTCATAGTCATGCATTACTTGTTCTTCTGCTGCTGTGTGTGTTGCTGCTCTTGCTGCTGCTGCTGCGGGTGCTGTTGCTGTTATTGCTTCTGCTCATTTGCATAGGGTATTTGGATGTGTGGGTCCGAGTGTGCGCCCAACCCTAAACCGTAAACCCTTCTCACCTGTAGATGTGGTAAGCAGCAACTGTCTCCGTTTTAAATGGACTTGGGTTCCAAGCAAGAGAAACCTCGCTGCTGCCGGATTTCGTGCACCTTCACAGACCATGCAGCAGCAGCAGAAGCAACAACAACAACAGCAACAGCAACAGAAACAACAACCGCAGTAGCCACACCTGCTCCAGTGCACCAATGCGCACCAAATAACAACCGCAGAAACTGCAGCAGCAGTATCTTGAGCAGCAGCAACGGCAGCAGCAGCAAATGCAGCAGCAGCGGTTGCAGCGGTGGCAGCAGATCAGAGCATCCTAATGACTTTTCTGCTTGAACTGGCAACAGCAAAAAATGCAGCAGCAGCAGCAGCAGCAAAGTAGACACCTAAGGACTGCTGGTTTCTGTGGGGGCTCAGAGAGTCTTTCTAATGAGCCCGCAAAAAGGACATAGCTGCCTGTACACCCCAAATAATAATGTTCATCAGTAGGAGATCTATCCCATTGGCCGCCACCTGAACACTCGCAAAAACCTAAACCCTTGATTCTCAAATTTAACCCCTGTACAAAGAACGGCAGAGATATGGCGGCGGTTGGGTTGTAAACCCTTTGGCGTGTACGGGGATGCCACCTTTGTTTTCCTTCTAGGGTTTAGGGTTTAGGGTTTCACCGTCATTTAAGAGGAACTCTAAGGTGGGGGCACTGGCGAAGAAGTACCAGAGTTTATCCTCAGCGTGCCTGCCTCACAAACCCTCAGCAGCGGTCTCCTTCTTGCCTCAATAAGGTCTAGGGTTTAGGGTTTTGTGACTTGGTGTTTCTTTTCCTCTGGCATCCCCCAAACATTAACGTTTTAGGTGTATATGCATGTATGTGTTGTACATACAACTCTCCTCTTTCTAGTGTATGTACATAGACATCGTAAACCCTCTTTTTTTCTCTGATCTAGCAAAACCCTAAACCTTAAACCCTAAACCCTAATATTGTTGTGTATATATGTATAGACCGCCAAACTCTCACTTTCCAGGTGTATATATGTATAAACCCTAAACCCTGATTGATGTCTCGGGTGTTTATACACCGAAAGTAGGCCCCCCATTGCTGCGTACCCCCGAAGACGCTGCGGCAGCAAACCAAAGAGTGTTTTACCCTCGGGTGTATCCGCAGACACCCGAGTTAATGACACCCCTGGTGCAGCACTCCATGGGCCCCCCCCTAGGCGGTGATGCAGATAAGGCTTACTCCATCCTACAACCATAAACCCTAAACCGTAAATCCTATGCCCTAAACCCTACAAAACATTTAACCCTACATGCTAGACCCTAAACACTAAATCCTAACACTTCCTAATACACAAAAGTTAACCCTAATCAACATTAGATGTCGCAGATAGTATGACAGCTAGCTAGTTAGCCAGCTAGCAAGCTGGCTAGTTAGCCAGCTGTCTTTTGTAAGGTTTTGTTGAGCAGACAGAATAGATCAAGAGGCGATCTCCAAAGTATATGCGGAGAGTTTCACTCTCTTACAATCACTAAACCCTAAACCCTAAACCCTAAAAACTGCAAAAACCACCTCAATAAGCCCTAAAAAGAGCGAATAAACCCTAATAAACATTATTATTCTTCTTAGGAGAGGTCTGCTGTATCTGTACCCGTGATGTAGAGCAGCAAAATCCCTCCCTGCAGCAAAGAAGATAAATCTGCTGCTTCCTGCTTCCCATGGGGAAGTAGCAACGAAGAAGAAGACGGCAGCAGCAGCGAATGGCTGTAGTGTCTTAACAGCTCAGGACGAGACATGAGTCGCTTCCTGGGCTTGCCAGGGCCAATAAAGGGGCCCTTTCCCTGCAACAGCAACTGCTGTTCCTGGTGCTGCTGCTGTTGTTGCGACAGCAGCAGGTCAGGGTCCGAGCCACAACCCTCAGAAACTGGGACATCCGGACTGGTGTGGCGTCTCCGCAGCTGTAGCAGCAGCAGATGAGGCCCCTCAGGGGCCACCTGCTTCTCCTCCATAGTCCTTTATCCAGCAGCTGCAGTAGCAGCAGCAACAGCAGCGGCAGCAGCAGCAGCTGCGAGCAGCAGCCCTTCGCGAGCCGCACAGACGGCAAGTTGTAGCGTCTCGGTTTCTAGTGTAGCCCTAAGGGACATGGGATCCCTCTAAATAAATTAAATATAATTGTATTTTATATTATTATTGTCATTTATATTATTATTTTATGGGCAGCATAGGCAAGGAGGTTAAGGGCTGGTGCACGCGGTGATGTACACCTCAATATGCGGTGCAGCATGGGGCCCCATGACACACACCTCCTATATAATTATTTTATTAATTTTATCATTTAATTCCTTTTTATTGACTGAAGTTTTATAGCAAAACAGAGAAAGAGACAAATGAAAGAAGGCGCGTGCCACCGATGGCTCTAAGACAACCACGGGGGCCCCAACGTACGAGCAGCAGCAGCAGCAGCAACTGCAGCAGCAGCAACAGCAGAAATAGATGACTTCTTTAGATTTCTCTTTGTTATTTTATTAGTGATGCACAGGGAAAGGTTTTCCTCAACCTATATTCCCAGCTGCAGCTGGCGCCCTAAACCAGAAACCTTAAACCCTAAACCCTAATACCTAAACCCTAAACTTCCTAGCAACGGTGGCCCATCACGGCACACTTAGGGTTTCCCTCAAGGGTTTTCGATTTAGGGTTTTATTGACGCCTAGGGAAGATGGTTTTTTGATCTATTTTATGTGGCCGCAGCAGCAGTCGCAGTCGCAGCAGCAGCAGTCGCAGCAGCAGCAACTGCGCTGCTCTAAGGACGCCCGCTGCTGCTGCTGCTGGTACACCAGGTAAATCTGCTGCTGTGCAGATGTGTGTACTAGCTCTGCTGCATCCAGACAACAGCAGCAGCAGCAGCCTCTGCAGGAGCATCTGCAGCAGCAGCAAACACAACATTAGCAGCAGCTGCAGCAACAGCGGCAGCATCTGCTGCAGAAGCATGGTGACAATCCTTTCCTTCTAGCCTTTTTAACGACCTAAGGGGTACTGTTGGAGCAGCAGCAGAAGCAGAAGCAGAAACAGCTGCATTGCGCCTGCAGCAGCAGCAGCAGTAGCGGATCAGCAGTAGATGCAGACCCATCTTTTGCTGCGGCAGCAAACGCAGCTGCTTCCTACGCATGAGTTTTCCCCCGCGTCATGCTGCTGTGGATGCAGCAGCACAACGCGCAGCAGCAGCAGCAGCGGCAGCTGCTGCTGCTGCGCAGTGGGAACCGCACGCAGCTGAAAGTAGTAGCACATTCATACCGCGCCAGCAGGTGCAGCAACAGCTGTTGCAGCAGCAGCTGCACCAGCAGCAGCTGCACCAGCAGCAGCTGCAGCAGCATCAGCACGAAGTGAGTTATGGAATCTCATTCTCCTCTCCGGCTGCAGCAGCAGCAGCACACGTGCCCATCAGCAGCAGTATGGGCATACTCGGCAGCAGCAGCAGCAGCAGCAGCAGCAATTTTTTTGTGCCCTATGGGGGTGCTGCGGAGGCGTACCCCCTGCCTCTGCAGCAGCAGCACATGCTGCAGCAGCAGCACCTTCTGCAGCAGCAGGCAGAGTTTTATCCTTGGGCTCCATGGAGAGACAGCAACTATGCGGTGACCAGGGGAATGACGTATCCTGCAGCAGCAACAGCAGCAACAGCAGATGAAGACTTATGGCCTCCTCTTTGCCCCGCATTGGGCCGCGGTGGTGCTGCACCAGCTGCAGCAGGTGTTGCAGCAACAACGCGAACGGCAGATGAAGCAGCAGCAGTCGCAGCAGCAGCAGCAGCAGAAGATGCTGCTGCTGCTGCGGCTGCTGCTACAATGGACCCAGATACAGTTGCTGTTGAGGCGCTGCTGCAATGTAAAGAATTTATGCGCCTAGAGAAGCTGGTGCTCCGCGCCATTGACCGTATATGCCGCAGCAGTAGCAGCAACAGCAGCAGCAGCAGCAGCAATAGGAGCTGGATGCATCCCATTGCTGATACTGCTGCTGCTGCTGCTGCTACACGGATAGGAGGCAGAGTGTGGGGCCCACTAGCAGCAGACCGCGGCAGCCACCGGGGGTCTTTGATAAAGGAAAGCCATTTAGGGCAGGCGCAGCAGCAGCTGCTGCTGCTTGCTGCTGCAGCACGGCGCTGCAGGAGCAGCTTGTGGATCGCCATGACAGCTGAAGATGCAGCAGCACACGCCCTGCAGCAGCAGCAGCAGCAGGACCCCGATGCTGCTGTTCTTGCTGCTTTTTCTGCTGCTTCTGCTGAAGCCCAAGCAGCAGAAGTGCAACCAGTGCTGCAAACAAGCAGAGAGCAGCGCCAGCTGCTGCAGCGGCAAGTGAGGCAGCAGCTGCTGCTGCAGCAGATTCAGCAGCAGCAGCAGCGGCAGCAACAGCAGCAGCAGGGAGCTGAGGGTTCCAAACAGCACAGCAGCATCAACAACGACATATCTGCCACCTTTCGGCAGCAAATGCTGCAGCAACTGCAGGCACAGGAGCAGCAGCAGCAGCAGCAGCAGCTGTTGCAGCAGCAGCAGCTGTTGCAGCAGCAGCAGCTGCAGCACCAGCTGTTGCTGCCGGGTCCAGCAATACCCACACACTTCAGCAGCAGCAACAGCAGCATGAACAGCGGTAACAACAATGACGACCCCAGCAACAGCAGCAGCAGCGGCAAAATCGACATGCGTTCTGCTGTGCTGCAGCAGCTAGCTCGAGCAAATAGACCGGCATCTGCTGCAGCAGATCCTGCCGGCAGCAGTAAGGCGAGCAGCAGCATCGCGGACAATAGCAGCAGCAGCAACAGCAACAACAGCAGCAGCAGCACACCTGAGCTGCGCACAAGATCCGCCCCCATAAGCACAGTCTCTTGGCAGCAGCAGCAGCAACGGCTGCAACGGCAAGAGGAGCAGCAGCAGGCAGCGGCAGATGAAGGGCTAGGTTTAGGTCAGGTGCAGCGTTTGCTGTTGCAGCTTGCTGCTGAGGGGCCTGAGCATTTGCTGTTGCTGCGTCGGCTGCTGCTGCTCGACTGCAGCAGCACCCCACAGGACTTGGAGGATCAGCAGCAGCAGCAACACCAGCAGCAATGCCGTGTTCGTCTCCCCCCCCGCCATGTGCTGTATAGATGGTTTAAAGATGGCATAAGGAAATATCCAGAGGTGCTGTGGCTGCTGCAGCAGCAGGAGGAGCAGGAGGAGCAGCAAGAGCAGCAGCGGGTGTACATAGCCCATGGGATAGAGTACGGCGAGCTGCAGCAGCAGGAGGAACCACAGCTGCAGCAACACCTGCGGCTGCACTCGAAGCAGCAACAGAAGCAACAAGAATTGACACTATCTGCTGCTGTCCGCGTTGCAGTACAAGAAGCACATCTGCTGCAGCAGCAGCTGCAGTCGTTAGAGCAGAGCATGCAACAAATGGAGCCCTTGCTGCTGCTGCAGCTGCTGCTGCGGCTGCGGCCCCTCTGCAGCAGCTTTCAAAACGAGCTGGAGCAGCTGCAGCTGCAGTCTGCTGCTGCCACCGGCGCTCCGGCTGCCCTTGTTCCTGCTGCTGCTGGAGCAGCAGCAGCAGCAGCAGCAGCAGCATCAGCAGTTCCTTAAAAGAGACAAAAATGTAACAACAAATGTTTTAGTGCAAAACAATAAAAAGAATAAGAGGAGACACTTAGTACAGATAATATATATAAAAGGGAGACAGTAGATATACAAGTAATAGATAAAGAGGAGACAGTATATAAAATTAATAATAGAAAAGGAGACAATAAATATAAGAGTAATAGTTAGTTATCTGCATGCATACTTGTACGTTTATATTTATGTATTATTGTATATATAATAATAATTTATTAATATACGTATATTAATTATATATATATATATATATATATATATATA